CCATGGCCATTACCCTGGGGTTGCTCCTTCCCCCCTTCCCCTATAGCTATTAATATAGAGTTGCTCACCTCCCTCTGTGGCTATTAATATAGAGTTGCTCACCTCCCTCCATGGCATTAATATGGAATTGCCTCTCTCCCTGTGGCCATTACCCTGGAGTTGCTCCTTGCCTTCTTCCCCCATAGCCAAACACTTCTGAGTTGCCTCCCTCTCCATATGGCCATTTTTATGGAATTTCTATGGAATTTCCTACCTTCCCCCATGGCCATTACTTGGCCTCCCTTTGCAGCTATAACTCCTCCACCCCTCCTGGAAGACTTTCTGTGAGATTTTGGAGTGTGTCTGCAGGAATTAGTGTCCATTTGTGAGATCTCCAAGACAGGAAGTGAGGGAATATCTCCCCAGCAGGATACAGACAGCAAAAGATAGCTTAATAAGGCTTTCAATGCTTCCCTGCTCTAAAATGAAAACAATAATGCTTGGCTACACATACATAAATCTGATCTTATTGGATGACAATGCATGAAATGACGAATGAGTTCATCTGGATTTGCCTTGACAATACAATTCCCAGACCTGAGTTGAATCCCTTTTCTGATTATATTTTTTAGGGTTACGGGTACAAAATAATCGGAAACCCCCGAGCCCACAACTGCCTCCCGGTATTGGTTAATATTATCAGCAACGCCTTTATGAGGATCTATAACTCCACGAAGAGGATCAGGGTGTATAATGACCCCGTCATCCCTGTGAGTATCCACCTGACCGCCTCCGGGAGAGGAGAGTATGCACTGCACAGGAGAGATGTGAAGGGAGCAGAGAGGACATTACTGTGGAGGAGAGATGTGAAGGGAGCAGAGGACAGTACTGTGGAGGAGAGATGTGAAGGGAGCAAGGGGGACAGTACTGTGAGAGGAGATGTGAAGGGGGCAGATGACAGTAGGTGTGTGGAGGAGAGATGTGAAGGGGCAGAGGACAGTACTGTGGAGGAGAGATGTGAAGGGGCAGAGGACAGTACTGTGGAGGAGAGATGTGAAGGGGGCAGAGGACAGTACTGTGGAGGAGAGATGTGAAGGGGCAGAGGACAGTACTGCACAGGAGAGATGTGAAGGGGAGCAGAGGACAGTACTGTAGAGGAGAGATGTGAAGGGAGCAGAGACAGTACTGCAGAGGAGAGATGTGAAGGGAGCAGAGGACAGTACTGTGGAGGAGAGATGTGAAGGGGAGCAGAGGACAGTACTGTGGAGAGAGATGTGAAGGGAGCAGAGGACAGTACTGTGGAGGAGAGATGTGAAGGGAGCAGAGGACAGTACTGTGGAGGAGAGATGTGAAGGGGGTAGAGGACAGTACTGTAGAGGAGAGATGTGAAGGGGCAGAGGACAGTACTGTGAGGAGGAGAGATGTGAAGGGGGCAGAGGACAGTACTGTGGAGGAGAGATGTGAAGGGGCAGAGGACAGTACTGTAGAGGAGAGATGTGAAGGGGCAGAGGACATTACTGTGGAGGAGAGATGTGAAGGGGCAGAGGACAGTACTGTGGAGGAGAGATGTGAAGGGGGCAGAGGACAGTACTGTGGAGGAGAGATGTGAAGGGAGCAGAGGACAGTACTGTGGAGGAGAGATGTGAAGGGAGCAGAGGACAGTACTGTGGAGGAGAGATGTGAAGGGAGCAGAGGACAGTACTGCACAGGAGAGATGTGAAGGGGGCAGAGGACATACCTGTAGAGGAGAGATGTGTGAAGGGGCAGAGGACAGTACTGCACAGGAGAGATGTGAAGGGAGCAGAGGACAGTACTGTAGGAGGAGAGATGTGAAGGAGCAGAGGACAGTACTGTGGAGGAGAGATGTGAAGGGAGCAGAGGACAGTACTGTGGAGGAGAGATGTGCAGAGGGAGCAGAGGACAGTACTGTGGAGGAGAGATGTGAAGGGAGCAGAGGACAGTACTGTGGAGGAGAGATGTGAAGGGGCAGAGGACAGTACTGTGGAGGAGAGATGTGAGGGAGCAGAGGACATTACTGTGGAGGAGAGATGTGAAGGGAGCAGAGGACAGTACCGTGGAGGAGAGATGTGAAGGGAGCAGAGGACAGTACTGTGGAGGAGAGATGTGAAGGGAGCAGATGACAGTGTCGTGGAGGAGAGATGTGAAGGGGGCAGAGGACAGTACTGTGGAGGAGAGATGTGAGGGGAGCAGAGGACAGTACTGTGGAGGAGAGATGTGAAGGGAGCAGAGGACAGTACTGTGGAGGAGAGAGATGTGAAGGGAGCAGAGGACAGTACTGTGGAGGAGAGATGTGAAGGGGGAGGACAGTATGTGAGGAGAGATGTGAGGGGAGCAGAGGACAGTGTACGTGGAGGAGAGATGTGAAGGGAGCAGATGACAGTACCGGGGAGGAGAGATGTGAAGGGAGCAGAGGACAGTACTGTGGAGGAGAATGTGAGGGGAGCAGAGGATGTGAAGGGGAGCAGAGGACAGTACTGTGGAGGAGAGATGTGAAGGGAGCAGAGGACAGTACTGTGGAGGAGAGATGTGAGGGAGCAGAGGACAGTACTGTGGAGGAGAGATGTGAAGGGAGCAGAGGACAGTACTGTGGAGGAGAGATGTGAGGGGAGCAGAGGACAGTACTGTGGAGGAGAGATGTGAAGGGAGCAGAGGACAGTACTGTGGAGGAGAGATGTGAAGGGAGCAGAGGACAGTACTGTGGAGGAGAGATGTGAGGGGAGCAGAGGACAGTACTGTGGAGGAGAGATGTGAAGGGAGCAGAGGACAGTACTGTGGAGGAGAGAGATGTGAAGGGAGCAGAGGACAGTACTGTAGAGGAGGAGATGTGAAGGGGCAGAGGACATTACTGTGGAGGAGAGATGTGAAGGGAGCAGAGGACAGTACTGTGGAGGAGAGATGTGAGGGGAGCAGAGGACAGTACTGTGGAGGAGAGATGTGAGGGAGCAGAGGACAGTACTGTGGAGGAGAGATGTGAAGGGGCAGAGGACAGTACTGTAGAGGAGAGATGTGAAGGGAGCAGAGGACAGTACTGTGGAGGAGAGATGTGAGGGGAGCAGAGGACAGTACTGTGGAGGAGAGATGTGAAGGGGCAGAGGACAGTACTGTGGAGGAGAGATGTGGGGAGCAGAGGACAGTACTGTGGAGGAGAGATGTGAAGGGGCAGAGGACAGTACTGGAGGAGAGATGTGAGGGGAGCAGAGGACAGTGTCGTGGAGGAGAGATGTGAAGGGAGCAGATGACAGTACTGTGGAGGAGAGAGATGTGAGGGGAGCAGAGGACAGTACTGTGGAGGAGAGATGTGAGGGGAGCAGAGGACAGTACTGTGGAGGAGAGATGTGAAGGGGGAAGAGGACAGTACTGTGGAGGAGAGATGTGAAGGGGCAGAGGACAGACTGTGGAGGAGAGATGTGAAGGTGCAGAGGACAGTGTGGAGGAGAGATGTGAAGGGAGCAGAGGACAGTACTGTGGAGGAGAGATGTGAGGGAGCAGAGGACAGTACTGTGGAGGAGAGATGTGAAGGGGCAGAGGACAGTACTGTGGAGGAGAGATGTGAAGGGAGCAGAGGACAGTGTCGTGGAGGAGAGATGTGAAGGGGAGCAGAGGACAGTGTCGTGGAGGAGAGATGTGAGGGGAGCAGAGGACAGTACTGTGGAGGAGAGATGTGAGTGAAGCAGAGGACAGTACGTGGAGGAGAGATGTGAAGGGAGCAGAGGACAGTACTGTGGAGGAGAGATGTGAAGGGAGCAGAGGACAGTACTGTGGAGGAGAGATGTGAGGGGAGCAGAGGACAGTACTGTGGAGGAGAGATGTGAAGGGGCAGAGGACAGTACTGTAGAGGAGAGATGTGAGGGGAGCAGAGGACAGTGTGTGGAGGAGAGATGTGAAGGGAGCAGATGACAGTACTGGGGAGGAGAGATGTGAAGGGGCAGAGGACAGTAGTGTGGAGGAGAGATGTGAAGGGAGCAGAGGACAGTAGTGTGGAGGAGAGATGTGAAGGGAGCAGAGGACAGTACTGTGGAGGAGAGATGGAAGGGGAGCAGGACAGTACTGTGGAGGAGAGATGTGAGGGGAGCAGAGGACAGTACTGCGGAGGAGAGATGTGAAGGGAGCAGAGGACAGTACTGTGGAGGAGAGATGTGAAGGGGGAGCAGAGGACAGTACTGTGGAGGAGAGATGTGAGGGGGCAGAGGACAGTATGTGGAGGAGAGATGTGAAGGGGGCAGAGGACAGTGTCGTGGAGGAGAGATGTGAAGGGGCAGAGGACAGGACGTGGAGGAGAGATGTGAAGGGGGCAGAGGACAGTACTGTGAGGAGAGATGTGAAGGGAGCAGAGGACAGTACCATGGGGCAGGGATGATGATTTGAAGGGGGGGTTGAGGACTGCTGAAAATACTATACGGGGGGGGGGGGGGGGTGATGTGCAGGGGGGCTGAGAGCACTGCTGTGAAGTGGGGGACACTGACATTTAGGGATTGTGATCACCCCCAGGAATGAGTGGGGCTCACCCCCAGGAATGAGTGGGGCTCACCCTCAGTAATGAGTAGGGCTCACCCCCAGGAATGAGTAGGGATCACTCCCAGGAATGAGTGGGTCTCACCCCCAGGAATGAGTAGGGGCTCACCCTCAGGAATGAGTAGGGCTCACCCCCAGGAATGAGTAGGGGCTCACCCCCAGGAATGAGTAGGGGCTCACCCCCAGGAATGAGTAGGGGCTCACCCCCAGGAATGAGTAGGGGCTCACCCCCCAGGAATGAGTAGGGCTCACCCCCAGAAATGAGTAGGGGCTCACCTGTCAGCAGTAGGAGGAGGAGCCAGGGTTTTTTGGTGCGGTACAAGGTGGGACCACACATTGAAGATTGCTGCAAGGAGAGCCAGGGAATGAACTATGGTTGTCATTCGTTTGCTTTCCAATAAAGAATACATTTGTCATGGTAACATTTTTCTTTCCCTCACCAGTGGAGACACGACCTTCACATAATGTTCAACATTGGATTGATGTGTATGCTATATGCGTCCGGACTCGCCCCCCACTTTGCAATGACCAACACGCAGGATACGAAGGTTAGTATAGGCTACGGGACGTGATTGCTAATGTGTCTTCTGTGCCAAAAAAAAAAAGGAAGCGGAGGGAAAAGGACTAGTCACCAGTTCTGCCTGTGGGCTCTATGTGTCTATGTGTGGAGGTGGCCATGTTGGTAGAGGCAGCACTTTGTTTCCTCATATCAGAGCTGTCCCCAGATGACTAGTGATCTGATGATTGCACAGATCCACAGAAAGGGTAGAGCAGTATCAGGGAGATCCTTGCACTGCAGGTCCTCAGGGACAGCCAACTTTCCAGCAAAAGAGAACAGTAAGAAGCACAGTAGTTATATCACCAAATCTCACTCCAAATCTTGTGAGACTACCAGGCTTGGAAGCAGGGAGATCCTTGCACTGCAGGTCCTCAGGTACAGCATCCTATCCAGCAAGGAGAACAGTGAGCAGCACAGTAGGGACATCACCAGATATCACTCCAATACTCCACAGGTTACCAGGCTTGGAAGCAGGGGGAGATCCTTGCACTGCAGGTCCTCAGGTACAGCGTCCCTCTCCATCAAGGAGAACAGTGAGCAGCACAGTAGTGACATCACTAGATATCACTCCAATACTCCACAGGTTACCAGGCTTGGAAGCAGGGAGATCCTTTCACTGCAGGTCTTCTGGTATAGCATCCTCTCCAGCAAGGAGAACAGTTAGCAACACAATAGTAACATCACCAGATATCACTCCAATACTCCACAGGTTACCAGGCTTGGAAACAGGGAGATCCTTGTACTGCAGGTCCTCGGGTACAGCGTCCTCTCCAGCAAGGAGAACAGTGAGCAGCACAATAGTGACATAACCAGATATCACTCCAATACTCCACAGGTTACCAGGCTTGGAAGCAGGGAGATCCTTGCACTGCAGGTCTTCAGGTACAGCTTCCTCTCCAGGAAGGAAAACAGTTAACAGAACAGTAGTGATATCAGCAAATCTCACTCCACCTCCTACCTTAGATGATCTCACACTGTAGATACACAGTTATGAGGTTACAGAACAGGAGTGCCTAGGCACAGGAAATGCACTCCTTGTGTTCTAAAGGGATCTTTCAGGGTGGATTGTTCAGGGGACTGCTTAGGCATGTTCAGATCCACTTCATGTTGTGTCAGTATAAGACTTACTAATTAATGGGACTAATAGCCAACCTCCAGCAACCTCCATCCAACCTCTGCGACTGGAGATACACTTTACCGTCTGAATGTGACTTGGCGTCATCCTCCTGCAGCCGCTGTACACCTGAAGGTGCTATGAGCTATGTTTGTATTGGTGAATGGCGCTCAGCTGTTTATGAGGTCTATAGAGAAAAGCTAGGTGATTTTATTTTCTGTCCTCCCTGATCACACCCACCGATTTTTTTATTCCCTTCCAGATCAAAGCTCGCTCCCAGCTGCGTATTTCCGGCCTTTTCCCATCCGCGTACTGGTTTGGACAAGCCCTGGTGGACGTCGCCCTCTCTTGGCTCCTCCTTTTCCTGATGATCGCCATCCTCCTGTTTGCGTTCAGCCATTCCTTCCATCTGTCGTTCCTTAATGCGGTGCTGCTTGTGAGTATCATTGGTCAGCTTTTCACAGCCGTGCGTTTAGCTGAACCTCTGAAATCTGAGTGATGTAAAACCCAACCAGACTTTTCATTCCGGGTGCGTCACAACAAAAGGGGAGCCTTACAGGTGGTTTTCCTTAGAAAGCAGCCACAGCCTGAGTAGAGAAGTCTGTCCCCTGCCAGCAGCTTCAGAGAAGGGCCCATGCTCTATGTGTGAAAGGAGTGGACTCTCTGCAGAGGTCCATAAATCCCACCTGCTGACCCAGAGCCTGAGCTCTCCAATCAGCAAGAAGTATGAGCTTTTCTGATTGCACAGCTATAGGTCTGCCACAGCAGGGGGCAAGTTGGTCCTCTGCAGGGAAACATTGCCAACACAGTTATAGTTCAGGCCTGGTCCATCGTTGTCACCATCAGGAAGCTGGTCCAAAGCTGATGTCATCACTGGGTCTCTGTGATTGTCTACGCAGTGCAAGCAGACTATCGCTGGGAGGGAGGGGCCTGCAGGATGCTGTACATAGCTTCCTGAAAACAACACAGCTCCCTAGACATGTGCAGAAGGAAAACATTTGTTTACCTTCAATTTGATTTGTTATTTAAATAATTTAATTTAGTTAAATTAGTTAATATAGTTTTTGGAATTTGTTTTGTTTCATTTATTCGTTTTTCAATTTGATTCAAATTCTAATTGCCATTCAAATGTATTCTATCTGAAATTTGGATTTCAGTAGACAGTTATATTCTTTTATTTTCTATTCTTTTCTATTTTATTCTAATCTATTCTATTTAAATTCAAATTTATTCTATTCAATATTTTAATTTTGGAAGACTTTTTTTCTATTTTATTCTATTCTATTATTTTTCTATTCTATTATTTTCTTATTCTATTCCTTTATTTTCTATTCTATTCTTTTATTTTACATTCCTTTATTTTCTGTCCTATTTTCTTTTATTCTATTATTTTATTTTACATTCCTTTATTTTCTGTTCTATTTTTTTTTATTCTATTCTTTTATTTTACATTCCTTTATTTTCTATTTTCTTTTATTCTATTCTTTTATTTTATATTCCTTTATTTTCGATTTTATTCTATTCTTGTCTTCAAATTCGATTTTGTTTTCTAATTCAATTTAAATTTGATTCCATTCCATTCCAATTTCAAATGAAATTTTCTTTCGTTATTTCATATTCGTTTAAGTTCGTTACTATTGTAATTTGGAAATTCGGATACATCCAAATCTCCGAATACTGAAAAATTTGTCTGAATTTCGATTTGGGAAGGAAACAAACCCGCACGTGTCTACAGCGCCCTGCCTTCCTCTCTGGAGCCTTCAACACTGATGCAAGCAGTGGGCCGGCTTTTGGGAGGGGCTATGCAAATATCAGCGTATACAACTGTGCAAGAGGTCAGATTTAGGGGGGCCCCAGATCACAATTGCTTCATGACGTTTGTCCGATGTGTGTGGATGAGGAATATATTTGTGACATTAAAGTTCTGTTTTTGATTTGCAGATCTTGGACGTTTTGGGTTACGGCATGGCCATGGTCCTCTATGTTTACCTGATCACATTGGTGTTCGGGAAGAGGAAGATTCATCATGACCGATGGTCCTTCTTCTTCATCTTGGTAAGAAGGTGACATCATGTTCAGCGGGTCACTTCAGGGTTCGGGTCTAAGGAGGGCTACAAATCGCAGACCATTTCCTGTGATTTGGGTGGTGGAGCTCTGGGTGGAGATTGGAAATAAATGTAAAAATTGCTATAGCGTGGGAACTCTCTCCTGCCCATTGGAGCCCCAACTGGGTCCCAGAAAGACCCACACTTCAGTGCAAAGATGAGAGCGCAGCTCGGCAGCTCTCCCCGATGCGTTTCGTCTCAATTGACGAGGGCTTAATGTATTATAAAGCTCGTGATTTGAGACTGCGAAATGGAAAGGGCGAGCACGACTCCTCCTCCTTTTTTCTTTCCTTCTTTAACAACTTGGTGCCGGCGCCTCCCGGCCCTTTAAGGGTTTCAGAAACCGGGAGGCGGGGCAGGGTTTTAGGGTCATGTGATTCGCTGTCACGGCGCTCATATGATCGGGAAAGGTCCCGATCGAAAGAGGAGATCGGGACCTTTCTGTGAGAACTGGACATGTGTGCTGGGAGCTCGTAGGGCGCGCGCTCTCAGCACATATGTTTTTCTTAATTGCACGCAAATGTGCAGCCGCTCGGCGTCAAGGCCCAGACACCGGGAGGCCACACATTTGCATGCGGCCAGCGCGGAGAGGTTAAATTGTTGGCATCGAGCGCAGGGATCCCAAACTTTTGTACTATACAGGACAGGGGCGGACTGACCATTTGGAAACTCCGCACTGGCCGAGGGCCTGAGGTCAGTAAGGGGCCCCATGAGATACCCCTGGTACCTTTCATAGGCTTTTTGGGTGTGGTTTGAGTGTAGGCGAGGACACAGGGGCCTCATGATCCCCTATTGCCCGGGGGCCCCATGAGGTGTCAGTTCGCCCCTGATACAGGATATGTTTTTATAATCTGGAGACATTCCATGGAGGTTTTCCAATATCTGCTTCGCTCAGGAAAGTCCAACGGATTCCAATGTTCCCTTCCACACGGTCCTCTAAAGTGCAATGCGATGCTGTCGGTATCTTTTGTACTCTTGTCTCTAGCCCCCCCCAAAAAATCCAAACAAACATTTTGACTTCAAACCTGGGGTGTCATTGGTGGGTTGATCGCAGAGGCGGACTGACCATTTGGAAACTCGGGCACTGCCCGAGGGCCCGGGGTCAGTAGGGGGCCCCATGAGATGCCCCTGGTACCTTTCTCATAGGCTTTTTTGAGTTTGGGCAAGGACATAGGTGTCCCATGATCCCCTATTGACCGTGGTGGCCCCATGAGTTGTCAGTCTGCCCCTGGTCGATCGCATGTTGCTATCACATGCCTGGCGATGGAGGCCAATGGAGAGAGGGCTTCCCTTGCGGCTAAGTTCCGGACTACCCTGAGAGTGGGACAGCGGGAGTCAGGCCCAAAGTGGCACAGGTCACCTGTTGGAGTTCTGGTTGGAGGTCCACTCAGAAGCACAGCTGGTGCACGGAGATAGGTCTGCAGACAGGAGGCGCCTGTGCGTGGTATGCAAGCCCTTCCGGGATTTAGATGTTTACTGGGTAGTCGGTTCAGGCCAAGGTCAGGTATCAGGTGGGAATCAGAGCGGACGTAGTCAGATGGGATAGCCGAGGTCCTACACAGAGGGGTGGGAGAGAGAGAGTATCCGTAAGCCAAGCCGAGGTCAGGTACCAGGTGGGAATCAGAGCAGACGTAGTCAGATGGGATAACCGAGGTCATACACAGAGGATCGAGAGAGAGTATCCGTAAGCCAAGCCAAGGTCAGGTACCAGGTGGGAATCAGAGCAGACGTAGTCAGATGGGATAGCCAAAGTCATACACAGAAGAGCAAGAGAGAGAGAGTATCCGTAAGCCAGACCCGAGGTCAGGTACCAGGTGGGAATCAGAGCAGACGTAGTCAGATGGGATAGCAGAGGTCCTACACAGAGGAGCGGGAGAGAGAGAGTATCCGTAAGCCAAGCCAAGGTCAGGTATCAGGTGGGAATCAGAGCAGACATAGTCAGATGGGATAGCCAAAGTCATACACAGAGGAGCGGGAGAAATAGTATCCGTAAGCCAGACCCGAGGTCAGGTACCAGGTGGGAATCAGAGCAGACGTAGTCAGATGGGATAACCAAGGTCATACACAGAGGATCGAGAGAGAGAGTATCCGTAAGCCAGGCCCGAGGTCAGGTACCAGGTGGGAATCAGAGCGGACGTAGTCAGATGGGATAGCAGAGGTCCTACACAGAGGAGCGGGAGAGAGAGAGAGTATCCGTAAGCCAAGCCAAGGTCAGGTATCAGGTGGGAATCAGAGCAGACGTGGTCAGATGGGATAGCCAAAGTCATACACACAGAGGAGCGGGAGAAATAGTATCCGTAAGCCAAGCCAAGGTCAGGTACCAGGTGGGAATCAGAGCAGACGAAGTCAGATGGGATAGCCAAAGTCATACACAGAAGAGCAAGAGAGAGAGAGTATCCGTAAGCCAGACCCGAGGTCAGGTACCAGGTGGGAATCAGAGCAGACGTAGTCAGATGGGATAGCAGAGGTCCTACACAGAGGAGCGGGAGAGAGAGAGTATCCGTAAGCCAAGCCAAGGTCAGGTATCAGGTGGGAATCAGAGCAGACATAGTCAGATGGGATAGCCAAAGTCATACACAGAGGAGCGGGAGAAATAGTATCCGTAAGCCAGACCCGAGTCAGGTACCAGGTGGGAATCAGAGCAGACGAAGTCAGATGGGATAGCCAAAGTCATACACAGAGGAGCGGGAGAAATAGTATCAGCCAGCCCAAGGTCAGGTACCAGGTGGGAATTAGAGCAGACGTATAGTCAGATGGGATAGCAGAGGTCCTACACAGAGGAGCGGAGAGAAGATAGTATCCGTAAGCCAAGCCAAGGTCAGGTATCAGGTGGGAATCAGAGCAGACATAGTCAGATGGATAGCCAAAGTCATACACAGAGGAGCTGAGAAATAGTATCCGTAAGCCAGGCCCAAGGTCAGGTACCAGGTGGGAATTAGAGCAGACGTAGTCAGATGGGATAGCCGAGGTCCTACACAGAGGAGCGGGAGAAATAGTATCCTTAAGCCAAGCCGAGGTCAGATCAGGGGTAAGGCAGAGTAGGCAGGTCCAGGAGCAAGCCAAGTCGGTAACAGGAGATCACGGGTCAAGTCACAGGAACCAGGAACAAGGCACGGGGAGCTAGAGATCATCCAGCAACTAGAGAAAGTGATGAGCCTCCTTATAAAGGCCGTCTGACACCAGACTGAGGCTGATGTGTGCTTCTGCGGCCATGCAGTGTACTGGCAGGAATGCCAGATCTTCCAGAACTTCTGCTGTGGACAGGACCCTGACATTTGCTTTTTGACTTGATCACGACCGACATTCTGGCAGCGAATCACTCGGGGTTTCTCATCTCTTGCAGTCCTCCCTCATCCTGATCGTGTTCCACGAATTGCCGTACTTCACGTACTACGGCTTGGAATTGTATTTCCTCTACTTGATCTTGGTGCCGCCCAGCAACCTGATGGCGTTCTTGTTCCAAATGGTGAGCATTGGTTGGAATGGCTTTTATCTGGCCCGTTATTACGGTAAACCTTGTCATATAGGCCGGCAAAAAAGAGAAAAAAAACACATCACAATGTGTTCTTCACATGGAAATTGGGGGCTGACGTTCCGAGGAAACTCTTGGCCATGTTATATTCTTTGCAAATGAAATGTATGAATAGGTACATAATTGCATTATTTCCACTAGATGGCACTGAGGAGCATACTTTTTTTTCTTACAATAGTCATTCATGGTCAGCACCATCTCCAAGCTGGTGAGCAAGCGTGATGACGTCACCACTAAAGCTCCATCCAACATGTACCGTCACAACTGATGTCATCCGGGGAGCACAGATTTACCACATTAAAGCCACCAGATGGCACTAAGGAGCATACTTATTTTCTTATGATAGTCAGTCATCGTCAGCGCCATCTACAGGCCGGTGAGCAAGCGTGATGACGTCACCACTAAGGCTCTGTCCAACACGTGCCATTACAACTGATGTCATCCGGAGGGCACAGATATAGCACATTAAAGCCACCAGATGGCACTGAGGAGTATACTCATTTTCTTACGATAGTCAGTCATGGTGAGCACCATCTACAGGCCGGTGAGCAAGCGTGATGACGTCACCACTAAAGCTCCTTCTAACACGTGCCATCACAACTGATGTCATCCGGGGGCACAGGTTTACAACATTAAAGCCACCAGATGGCACTAAGGAGCATACTTATTTTCTTATGATAGTCAGTCATCGTCAGCGCCATCTACAGGCCGGTGAGCAAGCGTGATGACGTCACCACTAAGGCTCTGTCCAACACGTGCCATTACAACTGATGTCATCCGGAGGGCACAGATATAGCACATTAAAGCCACCAGATGGCACTGAGGAGTATACTCATTTTCTTACGATAGTCAGTCATGGTGAGCACCATCTACAGGCCGGTGAGCAAGCGTGATGACGTCACCACTAAAGCTCCTTCTAACACGTGCCATCACAACTGATGTCATCCGGGGGCACAGGTTTACAACATTATAGCCACCAGATGGCATTGAGGAGCATACTTATTTTCATACAATAGTCAGTCATGGCCAGAACCATCTCCAAGGCGGTGAGGAAACGTGATGACGTCACCACTAAGGCTCTGTCCAACACATGCCATCACAATTGATGTCATTCAGGGGCACAGATATACCACATTTAAGCCACTAGATGGCACTAAGGAGCATACTTATTTTCTTATGATAGTCAGTCATGGTCAGAACCATCTCCAAGCTGGTGAGCAAGCGTGATGACGTCACCACTAAGGCTCCATCCAATAGTGTGCTGTCACAACTGATTTCTCAAGGGGAATTTCTCAAGTAGACAGTTATAACCAAAACAGATGCCCCCATTTGACCTTTCCCTGTCTTTCTGTTGTGGTGACAACAAAATGTTGGATTTCCCATCACTTCCTGTCTCGGTGACAATGGTCACCAGGACAAGTAGAGGGGGTGAATCTCAACGAGGACAGCATAGACAACCCGACAGAGGTTATGGTTATGAACTTTCCTCTAGAGATACCCTTTAATCAGGGATTGTGATTGGTGGACTTCAGTCAAGTGAGGGGAAATGTTTATATAACACAATGATAGGATGTTCTCTTCTCAGGTTTACTCTGTTTCTTCTGATGTTTTCCAGCTAATGATCTATTCCCATCTTTTGGACGATCATTTACTGCCAATTATGTACGCCCACCTGGCCATCGTAAGTAAAGGAACGCCATTCCAAATGTGCTGCATACAGGGACCCGAGGCTCTCAGGACTTCGGTCTGTAGTGCTTCGGCCCACTCTCATCTTGGGAATTTGGGAACCCTTCCCACATGGAAGAAAAATATATTTGAAATATATTTTAAAAATACTCTTCCCAAATATATTAAAATAAATTTGAAATACTAAAATTTTGGCTGTATTCAATATATTTCAATATATATATGTATATATTATATACTGTATATACTGCATGTTGAAATGCGTTCTTTAAATATTACAAAATATATGAAAAATATTTTTTAAATTACATTTTTCAAATATGCTGTATGTCTTTAAAAATACATTTAATCTACATTTTTGGAATGCATTTACAAATATACGTTAAAAAAATATGCTATGCTAAAACGATAAATGTACTCCATTTATTATTTATTTTACATTTTTTACTTTTATATTTAGATTATTATTGTATTTATTAACGTTATATATATATTTATCATAATAATAATAATTAATAATATAATCCATTGTTATTAATAATTCATTTGTTATTATTATTATTATTATTATTATTATTATTAATAATAAAAATGTAAATAAAATGTATTCCATTTATTTTTTATTTAAATTTGTTACTTTAGATTTAGATTTTTATTGTATTTATTTATTTTTATAATATACAGTGGGGATCGAAAGTTTGGGCACCCCAGCTAAAAATTTGTATTAATGTGCATAAAGAAGCCAAGGAAAGATGGAAAAATCTCCAAAAGGCAGCAAATTACAGATTAGACATTCTTATAAATATGTCAACAAAAGTTAGATTTTATTTCCATCATTTACACTTTCAAAATAACAGAAAACAAAAAAATGGCGTCTGCAAAAGTTTGGGCCCCCTGCAGAATTTATAGCATGCACTTCCCCCTTTGCAAAGCTGAGACCTGCCAGTGTCATGGATTGTTCTCAATCATCGTCTGGGAAGACCAGGTTATGTCAATCTCAAAGGTTTTTAAATGCCCCGACTCATCTGACCTTGCCCCAACAATCAGCACCATGGGTTCTTCTAAGCAGTTGTCTAGAAAACTGAAACTGAAAATAGTTGATGCTCACAAAGCTGGAGAAGGCTATAAGAAGATAGCAAAGCGTTTTCAGATGTCAATATCCTCTGTTCGGAATGTAATTAAGAAATGGCAGTCATCAGGAACAGTGGAAGTTAAAGCAAGATCTGGAAGACCAAGAAAAATATCAGACAGAACAGCTCGCAGGATTGTGAGAAAAACAATTCAAAACCCACGTTTGACTGCACGATCCCTCCAGAAAGATCTGGCAGACACTGGAGTTGTGGTCACTATTCCACTATAAAGAGATACTTGTACAAATATGGTCTTCATGGAAGAGTCATCAGAAGAAAACCTCTTCTACGTCCTCACCACAAAAATCATCGTTTGAACTTTGCAAATGAACATATAGACAAGCCTGATGCATTTTGGAAACAAGTTCTGTGGACCGATGAGGTTAAAATTGAACTTTTTGGCCGGAATGAGCAAAGGTACGTTTGGAGAAGAAGGGGCACAGAATTTAATGAAAAGAACCTCTGTCCAACTGTTAACCATGGGGTTGGATCAATCATGCTTTGGGGTTGTGTTGCAGCCAGTGGCACAGGGAACATCTCACGAGTAGAAGGAAAAATGGATTCAATAAAATTTCAGCAAATTTTGGATGGTAACTTGATGCCATCTGTGAAAAAGCTGAAGTTAAAGAGAGGATGGCTTCTACAAATGGATCATGATCCTAAACACACCTCGAAATCCACGGGGGATTACATCAAGAGGCGTAAACTGAAGGTTTTGCCATGGCCTTCACAATCTCCTGACCTCAACATAATTGAAAATCTATGGCTAGACCTTAAAAGAGCCGTGCGTGACAGACAGCCCAGAAATCTCAAAGAACTGGAAGACTTTTGTAAGGAAGAATGGGCAAAGATACCTCAAACAAGAACTGAAAGACTCTTGGCTGGCTACAAAAAGCGTTTACAAGCTGTGATACTTGCCAAAGGGGGCAGTGCAAGATATTAACTCTGCAGGGCGCCCAAACTTTTGCAGACGCCATTTTTTTTTGTTTTCTGTTATTTTGAAAGTGTAAATGATGGAAATAAAATCTAACTTTTGTTGACATATTATAAGAATGTCTAATCTGTAATTTGATGCCTTTTGGAGATTTTTCCATCTTTCCTTGGCTTCTTTATGCACATTAATACAAATTTATTCTTACTATTGTTATTAATAATAAAAAAATTAATAAATGAATCCCTTGTTATTAAAGGATTAATTTATTATTAATAATAATAATCATATTAGGTAACCCTAGTCACCCCAAATTTACTTTGTCCTTCCCTTCCCCTTAGCTGTTATTTTTCTTTTTTTTTATATAACTTTTTTAACCAATAATATTAATTTCCCCCTTTTTTCTTATTTTATGAAAAAATACTTTGTCATACATGGTCAAGATAGAAAAATTTTAAATGATTTCTGCAAGACAATATTGGCAAAAGAGAGCAATTTTGTCCCCAAATGAATGTATTCATCTCCTTATTGTCATAAATAATGACAAAGTTATTGAACAGGCCCATGGTGGAAATTTTAACACTGCTCTGCTCCATAGGGGGCGAGCAAGTACAATAATGAAAGTGCATAGAGGGCCAAACCCCATCATTGTCACTGGTATGAATTGTGAGATTTTCCGCCCCTCCACAGAAGCTTGGTTTATGACTTTCTCTGCTTCCCGTTCAGCCATACGCACATACCATCGTATTCTGGGGTCTCCTGTGGTTCTTGGAATGGAGGATTGGAAGCAGAAGTGTAAAACAAGATCCAGTATTCAGGTGGGTCCATGGACCATATACACGACGACAATCGCCATTTACTGAGATATGATTGTGCATATGGCCACCTTGTTCAACATACATAAAGCTACAGCCACAACAAACCATCCACAAGTGGGTGCTGATCTCGCTGTGGACTCGTCTCTTGGCTTTGAACAAGACAGGTATTTGCCCCCCTGGGCCAGGACTGGTAATATATGTTGGGCCAGGACTGGTAATATATGTTGGGCCAAGAATGGTAATATATGTTGGGCCAGGACTGGTAATATATGTTGGGCCAAGAATGGTAATATATGTTGGGCCAGGACTGGTAATATATGTTGGGCCAGGACTGGTAATATATGTTGGGCCAAGAATGGTAATATATGTTGGGCCAAGAATGGTAATATATGTTAGGGCCAAGAATGGTAATATATGTTGGGCCAAGAATGGTAATATATGTTGGGCCAGGACTGGTAATATATGTTGGGCCAAGAATAGTAATATATGTTGGGCCAAGAATGGTGATATATGTTGGGCCAAGACTGGTGATATATGTTGGGCCAGGACTGGTAATATATGTTGGGCCAGGACTGGTAATATATGTTGGGCCAGGACTGGTAATATATGTTGGGCCAAGAATGGTAATATATGTTGGGCCAAGAATGGTAATATATGTTGGGCCAGGACCGGTAATATATGTTAGACCAGGACTGGTAATATATGTTGGGCCAAGAATGGTAATATATGTTGGGCCAGGACCGGTAATATATGTTGGGCCAGGACTGGTGATATATGTTGGGCCAAGACTGGTGATATATGTTGGGCCAGGACCGGTAATAAATGTTGGGCCAGGACTGGTAATATATATTGGGCCAGGACTGGTAATATATGTTGGGCCAATGTCTCTATGTAGACATGCTTCACCATTCAGACATCAGGACCAGCGGTGAGTGACACATGCTGGGCATTGGAGATGAGCCAACGTCTGAAACGTTTTATCAGTCGTGGTTCAGCCAAACATTTAAAAATTCACAAATCTCCAAAATTTGTAGATTCCAAACCCAATGTGCCCTAGAAGTCAAAGCTGATCCAAACACAACGTGCCCTAGAAGTCAAAGCTGATCCAAACCCAACGTGCCCTAGATGTCAAAGGTGATCCAAACCCAACGTGCCCTAGATGTCAAAGCTGATCCAAACCCAACGTGCCCTAGAAGTCAAAGGTGATCCAAACAAGGTCCAAGAAAGTCTGCATTACAGAGCCGTAACTGGTGAAACATGGGGCTGAATGGTTTGGGAAGATGACCTGGTGGCAGCCAAGCTAAGAGTGGTCAGACAAGAACAGAAGCAGACGTAATGTAGATACAGGCTTTGGGGCAGCCATTGGCCTCTTTCTCCCAGAAGCCTTTTGAGAATCCAGACCTCCAAAACTAATTCAGATTTGACTCAGGACCTCCAAATTCATAAAACTTGATCTAAATTTAAGTTCATCCAAAATTCAGGATCAGCTCTGCTGGGAATTATATAGTTGCCTGCTCCCCGTTCGAACGTGGGATTGTAGCTCCTGGCAGAGAAAAGTGTTTCCATTCATGATGCCGAATGCTCATGGCTAGAATGGCCAGAAGATATGAAGAGGTGTGTTCCAGCAAATCACATCCTTCAGGAACATCCTCTTCTCGCTATGCCCACCAATCACTGCGGCACCATGGCATATTTTGCATGGTACTGTCCAGGGGCGGACTGACCATTTGGAAACTCGGGCACTGCCCGAGGTCCCGGGGTCAGTAGGGGGCCCCATGAGATGCCCCTGGTACCTTTTTCATAGGCTTTTTTCAGTTTGGGCAAGGACACAGGGGCCCCATGGTCCCCTATTGCCCGGGGGCCCCATGAGTTGTCAGTCCACCCCTGGTACTGTCTAAACTTTCTTTAGTCCACAGAAATCCCACCCTACTATTAAAGGGCCACTATATTGAGTTTTCCCTCCGGGGTAATAGTGCCCACTCCTGTCCTGGATGATGACATTAGTCTGGTCTCCACATGCTGTGTATCCTCAATGTCGTAGTACTTGGTCCATGTGCCTTCTGTAGACCCTTGTACTCCACCATTTGGTAAACATAACCTTTTACATGTGTAGCACTAACCCCTTGGAATTGCGAGAGATTTGGGTCCCCCTCTAGTCCTGCACAGCCAGGCAACACGGATTTTCACAACTTGCATCCAGGAGACAGTAACCAATCCTTGAGCTTCTTTTGAAGTTTTATTAGGGGTTTTGAACTTGAATGGGGTAAAGGGTGTACGGGATGCCCAATGGAACTGTGAAACTGAGGACAACTACCTGGAACTATATACAAGTTTTTTTACAGCAAAGTCTGGTTGTACCACCCCAGACCCTAGATGAATCCTCTTCTCATCCAGCTGTTTGAGGGAAACAGCTCACTCACTAAGTCCTTCTCTTGTGTTGCTGGTGGGTCGATGGCTGCTACCAGGCCTTCTAAGCTGGGCAGCTCCTTCCCTGCTGCACAGGTGGTCCTTTCTCAGGGGGCCGGTGAAGTCCTCCTTCCAAGTTCCTCCTGCCTGTGGGTGAGCCCCCCTCCCAGGTTCCTGCTTTCTAGCCTCACATCCTCATCTTCCACCTGAACTCTCCTCCAACTCTCCTGCTGCTGAGCAGGCTCGGTTACTCTTAAAGGCTGTCCTGGCCCCTTGCCAAGCCTCCTGTTGGGGATCCTTTAAGAGTACAGACCAGCCACTCTTCAGCTCCGCCCACTGCTTCTAGATCTTTCTCCAAAGTTCTAGAGCTAGGGGGGTAAAATCCCAGAGAGCTGGTCTGCAGAGCTTCTCAGCTCTGACCTAAATTTGACCCACCTGGTTATCACATCCAGGCTGCTACTCAGCCCTCGTAACTAACAATTAGAGTCTAGCTCCCCCTAGCTAGAATAGCCCGCTCTATGGGTCAGACACTTTCCTCTCTCTCTATTCAGGTTTACCAAGAGAGAACATCCTTTTACCGAGAATCCCGAGGAGCTGGAAGATGGAGACGAGGAGGTCCTGGCCGAGAAAGAAAGGGTTAACACCTTGAAAGCATCAGATCAGGAGGAGGAGGTAATATATAAATCCACCATGTAAATGTACTCCACACACCTTCATTGCATATCATGTCCTGCACACTATCTGAAACTTTGAATAAGGCTGGCAGTGGGAGTGGCTGCCCAGACAGGAAGTGCAGAGCCGGAGTCAGGAGAAGTCTACAAAGAGCACTGTATAGAGCAGCCTTCCTACCCCAGAGGAACCCTCAAATTTATTTTCAGGTCTCGGGGGATCAGTGGGAAGAAGGCCCCTCTTACAGTGTTGGCTTTGCCAAGTGGTGTTGGTCCCAGAATTATGCCGGCACCATTAAATAGGAGGCCAATTGTCCCGTACCTGACCGGAGGCTGCAATAGAGGGCTCCCCTTACGGCTAAGTGCAGTGCACCCCTGGAGGTTGAAACAGGAGGTTCAGTGCCCAAAGAAGCACGGGTTGCCAGTGATGTTGCTGCTTGGAGATACCTGATGGGATGGAACCTGTGGGTGCTCCGGTTGCAGGAGGAGTTTCTCCAGAGAACACGTGGATCCCGGAGGATGGGTAGAGTAGTCAGTAGCCAGAGCCGGGGTCAATATGGAACAGCAGACAGGAACAAGGTCAGGATAAAGCTGGGGTCATACACAGAGCAGCAGCAGACAGGAACAAGGTCAGGATCAAGCCGGGGTCATACACAGAGCAGCAGACAGGAGCGAGGTCAGGATCAAGCCGGGATCATACACAGAGCAGCAGACAGGAACAAGGTCAGGATCAAGCTGGGGTCATACACAGAGCAGCAGCAGACAGGAACAAGGTCAGGATCAAGGCGGGGTCATACACAGAGCAGCAGCAGACAGGAACAAGGTCAGGATCAAGGCGGGGTCATACACAGAGCAGCAGACAGGAGCAAGGTCAGGATCAAGCCGGGATCATACACAGAGCAGCAGACAGGAACAAGGTCAGGATCAAGCCGGGGTCATACATAGAGCAGCAGACATGAGCAAGGTCAGGATCAAGCTGGGGTCATACACAGAGCAGCAGCAGACAGGAACAAGGTCAGGATCAAGCCGGGGTCATACACAGAGCACCAGACAGGAGCAAGGTCAGGATCAAGGCGGGGTCATACACAGAGCAGCAGACAGGAGCAAGGTCAGGATCAAGCCGGGGTCATACACAGAGCAGCAGACAGGAGCAAGGTCAGGATCAAGGCGGGATCATACACAGAGCATCAGACAGGAGCGAGGTCAGGATCAAGTCGGGGTCATACACAGAGCAGCAGACAGGAGCAAGGTCAGGATCAAACCGGGATCATAAACAGAGCAGCAGACAGGAGCAAGGTCAGGAACAAGCCGGGATCATACACAGAGCAGCAGACAGGAGCAAGGTCAGGATCAAGCCGGGACCATACACAGAGCAGCAGACAGGAGCAAGGTCAGGATCAAGCTGGGGTCATACAAAGAGCAGCAGACAGGAGCGAGGTCAGGATCAAGCCGGGGTCATACACAGAGCAGCAGGCAGGAGCAAGGTCAGGATCAAGGCGGGATCATACACAGAGCATCAGACAGGAGCGAGGTCAGGATCAAGTCGGGGTCATACACAGAGCAGCAGACAGGAGCAAGGTCAGGATCAAGCCGGGGTCATACATTGAGCAGCAGACAGGAACAAGGTCAGGATCAAGCCGGGGTCATACATAGAGCAGCAGGCAGGAGCAAGGTCAGGATCAAGCCGGGACCATACACAGAGCAGCAGACAGGAGCAAGGTCAGGATCAAGCCGGGGTCATACAAAGAGCAGCAGACAGGAACGAGGTCATGATCAAGCCGGGGTCATACACTGAGCAGCAGACAGGAGCTAGGTCAGGATCAAGCCGGGGTTATGCACAGAGCAGCAGACAGAAACAAGGTCAGGATCAAGCCGGGGTCATACACAGAGCAGCAGGCAGGAGCAAGGTCAGGGTCAAGTCGGGGTCGTACACAGAGCAGCAGGCAGGAACAAGGTCAGGATCAAGCCGGGGTCATACACAGAGCAGCAGACAGGACCAAGGTCAGGATCAAACCGGGGTCATACACAGAGCAGCAGGAAGGAGCAAGGTCAGGATCAAGCTGGGGTCATACACAGAGCAGCAGCCAGGAGCAAGGTCAGGATCAAGCCGGGATCATACACAGAGCAGCAGACAGGACCAAGGTCAGGATCAAACCGGGTCGGTAACGGGTCAGCAGTAAACTCAGGAACACAGGAACAGGAGGGGCTGACGATAATCCAGCAATCACTGAGCAGAGCTGCAGTCCTTATAAAGGCCACTGATTGTCAGCAATTAGTGCACCCTGCGTGTGCTGGTGCGTTTTCGCGCACAGCAATGCATGATTACGTGCCGCCCGCCTATGCACATGCACACTTCTTTGCACGATTTGGTGTGGCTATATTGAGCATTGGCGCATTTGCCTCCTCGTCTTTTCCACTGACACCAATAAGCCACAGCTCAAGGAACTTCTGGCAACCTCTGGAGGAACCCTAGTGTTCCACAGATTTCATGGTTGAGAATGGCTGGTCCAGCCTGACCTAGAAGTATTACAGATTTTAAGAGACTTTGTTGCAGTCACACGATATTCGGCTTGTATTGGCCCATTTATTAAATATTGTATTAATCACAAATGCCACAGCAATCAGATGTCCTTCAGAATCAAAGTGTTTTTACTCTTCCAGAAGCCGACCATCCTTGTGGACAGTTTGCGGAAAGAGTTTAAGGAGAAGTCAGGCCTATGTAGACTCTTCAGGAAGAAGAAGAAGAGAATGGCCATCAGTAACACCTCGTTCTGCGTCAAGAAAGGTCGGTTCCTGTTCTTTTCTGTTTCTTTTAATGACATTGGCCAAGGAAAATGTGCATCTAAAACACCCATGTGTGGCTGCAAATGTGAGCAATGACCTCTGTGGTCCACTTGTATTCCCCCTGAAAGTAGAAAAGAACCCACATGATAGTGCAGGTCTGTTTATCAGCTATAAAGGATATGTTTTTTTTCACAAAATGTTTCAGTCTAAAGTCTGCAATAATGGAGGTACTTTGACCCTTAATGCCCAGATCATTTTTTTTTATCAGTGCAGCAGGTCTTATTGGTTGCTAGGAGGGAAGAAGAAGAGTTTTTTCAGTGATTCAAAAATATCACTGTACGTTGCATCAGTTTTGTCTTGTTTTTTTATTGTAAAGGTGAAGTCCTTGGACTTCTGGGCCCCAACGGAGCCGGCAAGACCACATCTGTGCTGATTCTAGCGGGGGAGATGAAAGCAACGGCTGGACAGGTGAGACATTATAGTCAAGGAGTGGAGGACGTCAGAGCTCATTTATGGGGGTGCTGGAGGAACAACTCACCCCTCTAGGGTTATGAGGGACCATGGCAAAAGATTTCCTGGAAAACACTACACCAATAAAATGCAATCAATAGAATGTTAATAAATATCACAAATGCATCTGCAGACAAGAAAACAAATTGAACATCTGAGAACCCCAGTCATTTATGACTCACTTCCATAGAAAGGTTAATTGCCCTACATAGATGGTTAGTGGAAAACATGAGGTTAACCCAACCACAAGTTTTATGATGGGCTCCATTTGCTGGAAAACCTGTAGCAAATGTCTAGATTGGCATTCTTTTAAGCCACCTTCACTGACTGACCCCTACAGGTGGTGCTGGGCAATGCAAGAGATCCCCATAGGACTAAAGACTCTGCAACTGGGAGGTCATAGAGGCTCGAAGTGGAGGGCTCATGTACAGAGGTGCTGAAGGAACATCTTACCGCACTATGGTTACAAGGGACCAAGGCAAAAGAGTTCCTAGAAAACACTGCACCACTAAAATGCAATCAAGAAAACATTACTGACTATCACAGATACATTTACAGACAAGAAAGCATTAAAACATCTTAGAACCCCAGTAATTTAACAACTGCTTTTCAAAAAAAAAATGATAATATCTCTATAGAAATGGTTTATTAAACATGAGATTCACCTAACAATATTTTCTTACACATTTTCTACTGGACCCATTACTGTTTGACCTGGAGCAAATGTCAAGTTTGGCATTCTTCTCTGACTGCCCCCTATAGGTGGTACTGGGTGATGCAGGAGACTCTGCAGCCTTGGGCTACTGTCCCCAACACAACCCTCTGTGGCCCAACCTCACTGTGAAGGAACATCTGGAGATCTATGCTGCTGTGAAGGGCATGAATAAAGAGGACACAAACCGCGCTATCAAACGGTAAGCTAACTGGCCCAAACCGTCTTCATGATGCAGATCTGGAGATGTATGACTCTGCTTCCTCTGCTCTCCTCCATATCATTGTTTGATCTTGACAGTCCCACCAAAGCAATGTTGGCTTCACCATTATCGTTTGTGGGAGAAAACATGGCCCAAAAGAAACTCACACAAACATACTAACTCTATGCAGACAGTGGCCTTGTCAGATTGAGACCCAAGTCCTCAGTGCTACAAGACTCACCTCTGACGTAGCTTTGATAAGCCATCTGCACACAAGCATTACGTTACAGCCATTTTCTCTAGGACGCTCTCTCACTACATAACAATAAACCTCACAGGTTAATAAATCCTAACTAGATTGTTCCTATGATTATATCTGCATATTTTGGCCTGCAGGGTGAGTGAAGCTCTGGAGATGAAGGACCATCTCAATAAACCAGCCAGGAAGTTATCAACCGGGGTCTCTAGAAAGGTGCGTTGTTTTCCAGGACTGTGTTCTTAGCGTGCTCAATTGAGTAGATGGCGTTGAGGAATTCTGCATATCTGAAGAAGATCTGCAGAACTGACCAGAGCTATACCCTCACAGGTTCCATCCTTACCTCTCAGATCTGCTGGGCCTTTCCTGTCTCCAGCAATTCTGCCTCTGAAAACCACTGAATGTAGCTGGAGCCATAAAGGCCAGATTGGCGAGGGCTAAGGCTTCTGTCCTTCTCCGAGTCCAGGATGTCTATAATGCATATAATAACAGAGGTTAAAAACTTTGAAAATATGTTGTAAGGCTTCTAAATCATCAGTAATTTTTAAGCATGCCCACAAGTCTGTTTATTGTATCAACTTTACTAATATCTGTAAATATTCTGCACATGTAGCGTAACTGAGATTGGCTATTCTCCCTCCTGGAGACATTGGAACATGGAGGAGCCATGGTCAGTTTGAATGGTCAGGTTCCAAACAATTGCAAATGGATCCCTGGTGTGGAATTCGCTCTCAAATTCATACAATTATCAGTTATAAATATTAAGTATCAATAATGTTGCCAATCTTGTATTGTGTAAGCCATCATAGTAGAAGCCATAATTGGCCATTTAGATCCCCGTTGTTCTTTAGGTATGTTTTGCCATCAGCATGCTGGGTAATCCCACCATCGTTCTCCTGGATGAACCTTCAACTGGTCTGGATCCAAAAGGACAACAAAGACTTTGGTGAGTCTTGTCACAAGTTGATGAGGGAGCTAATACCTTCAAGGGAACTTTGTTTTTTTTTTCTTTATACAGATCTTGATACTTATCGTGACACATTGCAAGGGACTAATGGATTCAGCACTCTTCACTGGACACAGCAAGACCAGGCATCATCCATGTTGATGTATTTTTTCTCACGTAGTCCTAAGTGTTTTGATTGGTGTTCTTTGGTGCCACATGACCTTCTGACATCAACCCGAGAAGAAGAAACGATATTGGTGCTCCAAAATTTGGATTTTTAGGGACTTATGAATGTGTAGTTTTAGTTCTTCTGCACATGAGCCTGGTCTTGTAGCCACGTCTGCCTCCCCCATTTGTTGTATTGACTTAAATTCTACAACACATATGTAGCAGTACCCATCTAGAGGCCAGCAGTTAGATAGGTCTCTTGGGTACTTTCCCGTAGCCAGGCACACAAACATAGTCACTATTTGGCCAGGGGGTTCTTCTTGGTGTTTTTATTTTTGGGATAATTTGGATAGGGTTGGGGACTGGGTGGGGTTCTTTAAAAGGAAACAACAAAAGGATTTGGTGAGTCTAGTCACAAGTGGATCAAGGAGCTAATACCTTTAAGGGGTTGACTGTTTTTTTATTTCAACACGATGCAAGAGCTTAATGGTTCCAGCATTATTCCCTGGACACAGCAAGGTAAGGCTTCATCCAAGTTGATGTATTTGTTCTTGCATGGTCAAGTGTATTGATTGGTCTTCCTTGCTGCCACATGACCTTCTTACATCAGACTGAGCTGAAGAAATGAGAACAGCGCTCCAAATTGTTTAGGGACTTGAGTTTGTAGTTGTAGCACTAGTGCCTATCAGCCTGATCTTGTAGCCATGTTTGTTTCCTCCATTTATATCTCATTATACAAAGTATGACACCTTAGGCTTTTCTTGTGTGTTTAAGGAGAGCCATCCGAGCAGCCTTCAAGAACAGGGAACGGGGCGCCATCCTGACCACACACTATATGGAGGAGGCCGAGGCTGTGTGCGACCGCGTGGCAATCATGGTGTCGGGGAAACTCAGGTGAGAAGGAACAACGCCAGGACTGAGTCAGGTGAAGTATTGAAGAAGCCAGTAATGCATAGAAGTCGGGATCTCTTACATACAGTTGTGGCCAAAATTATTCAACCCCCAATGCTGTAAAGGGGTTTAGGGACTATAGTGTACATTTGGAATTGTATTCAGAATCAAATCCTACAAGGACGTTGTAACTACCCAAATGCAACTAAAATGACATCAATTGTTTATGTAATACAGTAGTAAATGGTTCTTATGTGGTTTCTTCATTGCCACAATTATTCAACCCCTTAAAGACTACCACTCTGAAGAACAGAGGTTCATACAGGTGCTTTCCATCAGGTATTGAAAACACCTGTGGATGTCACCGAGCAGCAATCAAGCATAATAAGCACCAATTAGGCAGCTTTAAAATGACTGTGATACTCAGCTCCTTCTAGACATTTACTGGTGTGGTTACAAACATGGTGAAGGCAAGAGAATGGTCCAGGAAGACAAGAGAAGAGGTGATTTCTCTTCACAGGAAGGGCAATGGCTATAAGAAGATTGCAAAGATGTTAAACATACCAAGAGACACCTTAGGAAGCATCATTCGCAAATTCAAGGCAAAGGGCACTGTTGAAACGCTACCTGGTCGTGGCAGAAAGAAGATGCTGACTTCGACTGCTGTGCGCTACCTGAAGCGTAGAGTGGAGAGAAGTCCCCGTGTGACTGCTGAGGAACTGAGAAAAGATTTGTCAGATGTGGGTACAGAAGTTTCAGCCCAGACAATAAGACGCACACTGCGTAATGAAGGCCTCCGTGCCAGAACTCCCAGGCGTACCCCCTTGCTGTCTCCAAAGAATAAGAAGAGTCGACTGCAGTATGCCAAAAGCCATGTGGACAAACCACAAAAGTTGTGGGATAGTGTTCTGTGGACTGATGAAACAAAATTAGAACTGTTTGGGCCCATGGATCAACGCTATGTTTGGAGGAGGAAGAACAAGGCCTATGATGAAAAGAACACCTTGCCTACTGTGAAGCATGGTGGAGGGTCAATCATGCTTTGGGGCTGTTTTGCTTCTGCAGGTACAGGGAAGCTTCAGCGTGTGCAAGGTACCATGAATTCTCTTCAGTACCAGGAGATATTGGATGGAAACGTGATGCAGTCCGTCACACACCTGAGGCTTGGGAGACGTTGGACCTTTCAACAGGACAATGATCCCAAGCATACCTCCAAGTCCACTAGAGCATGGTTGCAGAGGAAAGGCTGGAACATTTTGGAGTGGCCATCGCAGTCACCAGACTTAAATCCGATTGAGAACCTCTGGTGGGACTTAAAGAAAGCAGTTGCAGTGCGCAAGCCTAAGAATGTGACTGAACTGGAGGCCTTTGCCCATGAAGAATGGGCGAAGATACCCGTAGATCGCTGCAAGACACTTGTGTCAAGCTATGCTTCACGTTTAAAAGCTGTTATAACTGTAAAAGGATGCTGTACTAAGTACTAAGATTGAATGTCACTTGGGGGTTGAATAAAACTGATAATGCTGTGAGCACAGAAAAGACATTTGTGGTTATTTCATTATAACTGTTATGTTATATTTGTCTGACCTACAAGTGCCTCTTTAATGTAAATGTAAGCAAGATGACTGAATGATCAAAAGCAATGTCAAACTGGCCAAAACACTCAATTTCAGTGGGGGTTGAATAATTTTGGCCACAACTGTATATTTTCTCTAGAACATTGATCCAGTACACCTGTGTCATTGGGTTCCACTCCATAAAAATCAAAAACGTCATAACAGAGACATGAGGAAGGATAATCTAATGTAGGATTACTTAGCTCTGGTGTAATGGAGGTTGGAGATGGATACCTCTCTGCAGACATGAGCTATTGGCAGATATCTTAAAGAACATTCTCCCTATTGTGGCCAAATAAAACTTTTTATTTATATTTTGGCATCAAGAAGGTTTTTACATGTATTTAATAAAGGAAGCACTGGTAATACACAGAAACGGTAATACCAGAATACAACAATTTTCTAGTCTCTTTGTTGTAATTGAGAATCATTAATTTGGTATAAAATTCAGGAAATCCTTGGCAACACTCAGATTTTTTAATGGAAGCTTTATAACAATTGTTGAGTTCTCCTTACTTCTTCTTCTTTTGGAAGTCTATAGACAGCCAAAACGTTTTATTTCAGTTTAGTTTCGTAGTGTAGGGAAGGGTTCTAGCTCCTACCAGGTTATTATGTTGCTGTCTGTGTTCTGCTGGAGAGATTTCCCTTCACTCTGTTTTGGAGACACAATCGGAAGTGATAAAATATCTCCCCATAGTGAGGTGGAATTTACTTCTAGACAGTTGTCACCAAAACATTCATCCCCATAGAAAGATTTGCCCTCATCTCACAATTCCAAAATTTGGGGTTTTCCTCTTACTTTCTGTAGTGATGATAAGGGTCACCAAGGCAGAGGGTGAACCTTCACAGATCGCAATAAAAACTCAATGGAGGGTCTAATCCTTCCCTTCTCTATCCAGAACTAAAAGAATACGTTTTTCTTTTCCATATGTACCTACCGCAGGTGTATTGGCTCCATCCAGCATCTGAAGAGTAAATTCGGTAAAGGTTACCTCCTGGAGATCAAACTGAAGGATACCCAGCAGGTCAATGTCATCCACCAGGAGGTCCTCCGCCTCTTCCCAAAAGCTGCCAAGCAGGACAGGTAAAGCGACTAATTCTGGGAAAGATTCCAGGACCATCACTAACGATTGATCCTTCTATCCCCATTATTGACTGATTCTTTAGTCCCCTTTAATGGCTGATCCTCAGTGTTAACATATCCCTTAGAGGACAGACCCTGGTTATGACAGAACCACAGTGGTAAGGGACCCTTAGATCCCAGCAATGACACACCACAAGTGATAACAGATCTGTGAGACTCTAGTTATCTTCCAGATCCCTTTAATAATAGTTCCCTGGGATCCACCTGCAGACGGATCTGTATGTAAAAAAAGATCTCCTCTGTCCAATCCTCAAACCAAATTGTTCTGTTCCAAATGACACTCTATGCACTGACATACCTCCTTAGACCCAGTCTATCTGGACAGTATGGTCACCTGCTGACTTGTCATCATCCACAGGCAGCTTAACTCTTCAAAAAAAACACAGAAGGTGAATCCAATGCAATCTGACTACAGAGGATTTTTTTTAGTCTTTTGAAGTGTAAGAAGGCAATAAATTTCCTTAGCCCTGTCTCAGCGAATTACTAACACTGACTGTGGGAAGATGGAGAAATGGGAAAGGTGTAGCTAGGACTGAACTATCTACCACTAAACAAGTAAGGAAGACAGAAGATACCAAAATTATTATTATTATAGAGTATTTATATAGCGCCAAAGGGTTTGCTCAGCGCTGTACATTAGAATGGGGGACAAGACATGAGACAATACAGTAGCAAAACAATACATAATACACAAGGGTTAGAGGGCCCTGCCCTTTCGAGCTTACAGTCTAGGAGTATCACAAAGTAAACAAGTTGTAGTGGCCCAAAACTGCCGCTATAGACATCAACATGTTACAGAATTGTAATAACCTGATACAGTTCAATACAACATAGCAAAAATACTTCAAAGTGGGTCCGAAAATAAATACTGCATGGTTTTGATGGACGACACGTGTTGGGTTCAGTGATTGGACATTTCCATTGAATGTCGATCTTTACCCTGCAGGTTCTCCTCTTTGCTGGTCTATAAGATCCCAATGGATAACGTCCAGTCTCTGTCTCAGGCCTTCCTTCACTTGGAGAATGGTAAGATAATACAGCTGGTAATGGAGATGAAGATGAATGTGAAGGACCTAACAGGACAGTACGAAGGTCGGTGATCTTTGTGTATTTTCTTTACACAGCTAAACAAACGTATCACTTTGAGGAGTACAGCTTCTCCCAGTCCACCCTCGAGCAGGTAATGGCACTGATATCCATTGAACACTGACAATCATGGGTACAAAATCCCCACTTTCCTGATGTGGTTTAGATTTGCTTGTACTCTTTGGGATTTCCAGGAAAGGTCTCTGGGGACAGTAGGAACAAGGACAGAACTCAGGCTTTATCTTTACTAACTTGGTTGATTTTCTTGGCCATGTTCATGAATAAGGAAGGTTCTTAGTCTTTGTTGTTTGATTACTAACAGGTTTTCCTGGAGTTGGCCAAAGAACAGGAGAAGGAAGACTTCCACCTAGATTCCTCATTCCGATGGAAACAACTGAGGAGCGAAGAGATCTAACATTGTCCAGAATGGGATTATTATCATTAACCTTCAATGGACCTTCTGCCTTAGAATGTGCACCAAGATGGATATCGTGGGGCAAGTTGAAATCAAGTCACCTGACCAGCAAGGAATGCGTGACAATTGTTGGAGGCTTCCAACGGAACTATACTGTAGCCTTTTGAGTCATGTTTTAGGGGTCTATTTATTAACAATTACATGAACATTCATTCTGTGCAAATTGGGCAAAAATGAATGTTCTTTAGGCTATTTTATTAATTGGACAACTGTTCTTTTATAATGGGCTGTAAAATACCACATGATGGCCACTAGATGGATCTGAGAAGCATAGGAAATAGATAGTTCCTTGGAACAAGTGATACAATGTAATAATCCTAGAGATCGCTAAAGGGAAATAACAAGTACATGTAACACTCACTGGCCACTTTATTAGGTCCACCTGTTCAATTGCTTGGTTACGCAAATTGCTAATCATCACATTTCATCAACTCAATGCATATAGGCATAGATAGATGTGGTGAAGACAACTTGCTGAAGCTCAAACCGAGCATAAGAATGGGGAAGTAAGGGGATTTAAGTGACTTTGAAAATGGCATGGTTGTTGGTGCCAGACAGGCTGGTCTGAGTATTTCAAAAACTGCTGATCTACTGGGATTTTCACACACAACCATCTCTAGGGTTTACAGAGAATGGTCCAAAAAAGAGAAAATATCCCGTGAGCGGCAGTTGTGTGGAGGAAAATGGGCAGAATGGTTAGAGATGATAGAAAGGCAACAGTAAATCCAATAACCATTCATTACACCCAAGGTATGCAGAATACCATCTCTGAACCAGGGGTGGACTGACCATTCGAGAACTCGGGCACTGCCCAAGGGCCCGGGGTCAGTCAGTAGGGGGCCCCATGAAATGCCCCTGGTACCTTTTTTTGAGTGTGGGCAAGGACACAGGGGCCCCATGATCCCCTATTGCCTGGGGGCCCCATGAGTTGTCAGTCCACCCCTGTTCTGAACACACAACACATCCAACCTTGAAGCAGATTGGCTACAGCAGCAGAAGACAACACCGGGCGCCACTCCTGTCTGCTAAGAACAGGAAACGGAGGCTAAAATTCACACAGCCTCACCAACATCGGACCATAGAAGATTGGAAGGACATTGCCTGGTCTGATGAATCTGGAGCTCAGCTGCAACATTCAGATAGTAGGGTCAGAATTTGGAGTAAACAACATGAAAGCATGGATCCATTCTGCCTTGTATCAGTGGTTCAGGCTGGTGGTGTCATGGTGTGGTGGATCCATTCTGCCTTGTATCAAAGGTTCAGACTGGTGGTGGTGGTGTCATGGTGTGGTGGATCCATTCTGCCTTGTATCAATGGTTCAGGCTGGTGGGTGTCATGGTGTGGTGGATCCATTCTGCCTTGTATCAACGGTTCAGGCTGGTGGTGTCATGGAGTGGTGTGCTGGATCCATCCTGCCTTGTATCAGCGGTCCAGGCTGGTGGTTGTGGTGTCATGGTGTGGTGGATCCGTCCTGCCTTGTATCAGCGGTCCAGGCTGGTGGTTGGTGGTGTAATGGTGTGGTGGATCCCTCCTGCCTTGTATCAAGGGTTCATGCTGGTGGTGGTGGTCTCATGGTGTGGTGGATCCGTCCTGCCTTGTATCAGTGGTCCAGCTGGTGGTGTAATGGTGTGGTGGATCCCTCCTGCCTTGTATCAGTGGTCCAGGCTGGTGGTGGTGGTGTAATGGTGTGGTGGATCCATCCTGCCTTGTATCAAGGGTTCATGCTGGTGGTGGTGGTGTCATGGTGTGGTGGAGATTTTCTTGGCACTAACAAGGTGAACCTAATAAAGTGGCTGGAGAGTGTAAACAATGGTTACATTTCCCTATGACCATTAACAAATGGTTACGTTTATCTGCTAATTTCCTCTAGCGTTGTCTAGATTTGTTACATTGTATCTCTTGTTACAACTTCCTATACACCTCCTATGCTCCTCACCTCCACCTACTGGCCACAATGCAGTAATTTACTGCTGTCCATATTAAAAGAAAATTTATTCAGAAGAGAAAATAATATAAATTTGCCCAATTCATGCAGAACGAATATACAAGTAAATTCACTGAATGAAATTTGTTTTTTTTTAACAAATAGACCCCCCAAAGTGTTTATATTTCTTACACTCAGCTATTATTCTATTATTTATAAATGTCATACAGCTTTTTTTTCTTGGGCACACAGACAGTTACAAAATAAGAAGAATCTGTGAGTGTTTATAAATGTGAAGAGACTTTTTCTATAATTTTTCGTATAGCATTTTGTAAACTGTAATTTTTTTTTACCTAAATACATCTCTGAACATGCTGTCCTTGTTTCCCAGATAGCAGGGACACCGCAGAAGAAGCCCAAATGCCTTTAACAATAAATAATATATATTTCTATACCAGCTTATTTTTATAGTTTTTATTGAATATCATTGTACATGGAAACTGGAAAATAAAAAAAATGAAATTTTTTTCAATACTGTTTTCTGAGTGATTCCTCTTTCTACTTCCAATATAAACTAGAACAGTAAAAACATGTCTACCATAGATACCCCGCATGTGAGCGTTGATCATTGCCGCATAAAGAGCAGAATATGGCGCACTCCAGACAGCGAGCAACTGGAGGACAGCGCCCCGAGTTCACAATAAAACTACCTGAAAAAGAATCCAATGATTTGGAGGGCGGGGCCAATACTTTTGGCAATATAGTGTATACAATAACAATGAATTGAAAGAAAACACATTAAAAACCGAATGAAATACTATAATAAACATTCCTTCCTATTAAAACACTGCCTTGAATACATAACACGGCTAGAAAAAAAAAAAAAAATCATTCATGGGTCCAAATAGCAGTCAAGGGTTAAGGACCCCCCTTTCCCCGCCTTACCCATTCAGTAAATTGGAACGGTTTGCGATTTGTGTTGTCTACAATTTTCTGTATCTTGCACAATGCTGACCTCAGAGCCAGCCAGTCCTTATAGATGGTTCAGTCTGTGCAAAAGTTCAGATCTTTGATTTTGTTCCCCCTCTCAGGGGGTATGGGGGAGCGGATGAAAATTGTCGCCCAAGGCAAGCGCCTTGTTTGTCTCATGGTAGATATGCCTCTGCTTGTAACAAGAGATACAATGTAACAATACTAGAGAATACTAAAGGAAAATAACAAATGCATGTAACCAATGGTTACATTTCCCTATCACTAATAACCACTGGCTACATATATCTGCTAATTCCCTCTAGCGTTGTCTAGAATTGTTACATTGTATCTCTTCATTCAGAAGAGAAAATAGTTTAACCCCTTTACGCCGGACGCACACAAATGTGCGGCCTTCCGGTGCCTGGGCCTAGACGCCGAGCGGCCACACATTTACGTTCATGTAACAAAAACCATATGTGCTGAGAGCGCTCTTTTGATCGGGACCTTTCCCAATCATGTGACCGCCGTGACGACAAATGATCAAATGATCCATTCCAAAATTATAGCTAGCCAACATTAATGAGAGAACGCCAATACAACGTACGTCTTCATACACCAAGTGCAGTGCTCCAATCACTCGGCAATTATTTTTACAGACCATAAAACTCCCACTTAAAAAACAAAACTTGAACTTTAAACATCCAATAAATGTGTCCAAACTTCAATGCCTGAGCATAGCCAGAGTGCAAATCGATCCAACAGTGACACCCAATTGTTCTCATCCTAATGGCCTTAGCACCAGGGGTGGACTGACAACTCATGGGGACCCCGGGCAATAGGGGATCATGGGGCCCCTGTGTCCTTGCCCACACTCAAAAAAAAGCCTATAAAGTACCAGGGGCATTTCATGGGGCCCCCTACTGACCCGGGCACTCGGGCAGAGTACCTGAATGGTCAGTCCACCCCTGCTTAGCACCCTCAATCTTCGGTGACACCCTCTACCCAAAACTGGAATTCCAGTGATGTGCTCTCCACCCTGACCCCACTTCCAATATCACCGGTTGTCCTCTAACCTTAATAAATGGGGCCCTTTAATTCCTAGGTCCAGATGGAGCTCATCCTGACCAAGGGTTGAGGACCCCCCCCCCCCCATACATTACATTGTACAGTTGGGGTTTGTGTTGTCTCTGACCTCCAGTATGTTGCACAATGCTGATCACAGAGCCAGCGGTCCTTGGAGCCAGGATTGTGCAATCTAGGCAAAAGTTCACAAAAATCAAAAAAGGAAGTGGGGGGGGGGGGCTGGCTTCCTCTTTCCACTCCATCCAATCATGAGATGAAGAATGTGGATGGGATGGTGGGAGAGAGTTCTGGGCTGGAGGTCCTCACAAAGGAAGGAATATTCACTGCACACACAAATGAGAGCAAAGACCCCAGCGAGGATTCTGGGAGCTGCGCCAACATCATATACATCTGTGTCCCAGTCATGTGACCTCCTCAGACCAACGCTGTACTGGGTGAGGATATAGAACAGATGGTGGGATCGGAGGATCGGGGTGGCCGTGTGTGGGATCCTCTCCGACTCGCAAGGTAAGTGGATTCCCTGCCCGGGGAATGGCTCCCTCTAAACGTTGCAACTGCGGTACCCTTCCAACCAATCATAGTATATGGGAGATGATGTTACATTGTATACGTCGTATGTAACATGTATAGGACACCCTCCTCTGTGTCATGGGCCATCCGGGGTACTAACAGCGTGTGGGAGATAATGTTACATTGTATCCGTCGTATGTAACATGTATAGAACACCCTCCTCTGTGTCATGGGCCATCCGGGGTACTAACAGCATGTGGGAGATAATGTTACATTGTATACGTCGTATGTGTAACATGTATAGAACACCCTCCTCTGTGTCATGGGCCATCCGGGGTGCTAACTGCGTATGGGAGAGATTGTTACATTGTATACGTCGTATGTAACATGTATAGGACACCCTCCTCTGTGTCATGGGCCATCCGGGGTGCTAACAGCGTATGGGAGAGAT